ATCATAACAAATTGTGGATAACATTGAGAAGAATGGGAATTCCAGAACACTTAATTGTACTCATGAGGAACCTGTACATAGACCAGGAGGCTGTTGTTCAAACAGAACAAGGGGACACTGCGTGGTTTAAAATCAAAAAGGGAGTGTGTCAGGGTTGTCTCCTTTCACTATACTTATTCAATCTATATGCTGAGAAAATAATCTGAGCAGCTGGACTATATGAAGACAAACACGGCATCAAGATTAGAGGATGCATCATTAATAACCTGCGATATGCTGAAGACACAGCTTTGCTTGCTGAAAGTGAGGATGACTTGAAGCACTTACTGATGAAGATTGAAGAATATAGTCCGCAGTATGGATTACATCTCAATATAAAGAAAACAAAAATCCTCACAACTGGACCTATAAGCAGCATCACAATAAATAGAGAAAAGTTTGAAGTTGTCAAAGACTTCATATCATTTGGTTCTACAATCAATACCAATGGAAGCAGCAGTCAGGACATCAGACGATGTATGGCACTGGCCAATTTGTTACAAAGGACCTCTTTCAAATGCTGAGGAGCAAAGATGTCTCCTTGAGGACTAAGGCGCGCCTGACATAGACCATGATATTTCCAATCGCCTCATATGCATGTGAGAGCTGGACAATGAATAAGAAAGACTAAAGAAGAACTGATGCTTTTGAGATGTTGTGCTGGCGAAGAATGCTGAAAATACCATGGACTGCTAAAAGAACAAATCTGTCCTGGAGGAAGTGCAGCTGGAATGATCCTTGGAAGCGAGAATGGCCAAAGTTCGTCTCACTTACTTCGGTCATATTGTCAGAAGGGACCATTCCTTGGAGAAGGATGTCATGTTTGGTAAGGTGGAGGGGTCAATGAAAGAGGGGAATACCTTCAACGAGATGGACTGACACAGTGGCTGTGGCGATGGGCTCAAGTATAGCAGGGATTGTGGAGCTGGTGTGGGACTGGGCACTGTTTCACTCTGCTGTGCAGAGGGTTGCTATGAGTTGGAGACGACTTGACGGCACCTAACGACAACACTGGGAACATGGCTACATAATGAAAAATGAAGTATTTAAAAGAGCCTATTGATCTCTGGAGACATGCAGATCTCAACAAAATTAATCATTCCTTTGACTACCAGTATCTTCATAAGCAGAAAATGCTAGGAATCTTAATCTTACCTCTAGATCAGTTTCCATAAAATCAAATACAAGGCTAATGTTAGATTTATGTCCAAAAGCATCAAGGAGCTACAGAGCAAAAAATACATAAATAAAATTAAAATATGCTACTGTGTTACATACTTGACAATAGTACAGCAACTGAGATACTTTTTCTAAATTTAAAGACACTTTCAGAATGTTAACAATTCCTTGTAAAAGTTAAGACATTTTATTAAGTTTCTGTTTATTGTTTTTTTTTTTTTTTGGCTAGGAATTAATACTTTTTTAAGACACAAAAATATTCAACTTTACTTCTTTTAAAAGTTACTAAGTACTTAATTTCTCCCCAACAACTTCTGGGGTTATAGTTAAAAAATTAACAAATGAAAATCTCCCCTCAATTTGTAATTCAGAAAATTTCCCAAGCATGGTGTTTAAGGAAATCCTCTAAACAGCAGCAGCTATCACTGAATGAATACGTTCACCATGCCACGCACAATTCTACGTACTTTTCACGTATTAAATAAGGTATTTTCATAACAACTCTATGGGGCTTGTACTATGGCACAGAGTGAGGGAATTTGCTCAAGGTCTCACAAAGCCAGAAGGATTTTGAATGCAGGCTCACATCTTAACCACACAATTAGCTTTGTATGTCAGTATTTGATGGCATAGCTCATCTACTGTATAATTTCAAAGACACTGCCTACAGGAATAATTAGGACAGAAAACACATTTTCAGACTGATACACTTCAATCAATATCCACATTCAAAAAAAGGGCAGGGTCACAGATAAGATTAAAAGCAATTTAAATCATACTCACACCAATTATATTTGGATGACTTAGTTCCTGTAATAATTTAATTTCTCTTAAGGCTGTTCTATTTATACCTACATAACGACAAAGAAAGGAAAAGGTCAGTCATCTAATGATACAGCAATGAACATTCTACAGAAAAATAAAGGTTATTCTGACAAACATAAGTGTTTTTCTTTGATACTGGTTTGTTCTTAAAACACTTTAACACAAAGACTATGATAAATGGTGAAAAAAGCATTCACTTTATCTGTAGTATATCAGATCTGAAGACTGCTGGAATAAGAACAGGTATAGATGTGTAACATATAGGTGATAAGTCAATAGCTTCCCTTCTCTCACCCCACAAATATTAGGGGTAGATTCTTTTATTTTCTAATAGACATACACATTTATTATGTGTTAACACTCCTTTCCACTGTCTCCACATAAAACAAGAAACTTTTCAAAAGCAGGAGGAATCTGATCTACTCAATTGCTCTGCATAATGAATACAGTTCTTTATTCCCATGAAGATGCAGTATCACACCCAGATCATACTCATACCAAGGCACATCTTGCAAAATCAGTAAGGAAAAGACATGGAGTTAGGGACATAAAGTGTGCAATCTATCAGGAGAGGGCAGGTCCTCTGTGCTAAAAGCAAAGCAGTAGACAGTATCTTGTTTAGCACAAGGGATTGTTGCTATTCACCACCATTGACCTGGCTCCATGTCATGGTGACCTCATGTTACAACAGAACAAAATGCTGTGACCATGCTAGCAACTGAAATACTAGTGAAATAGCTTCTGGCATTGTAACAATACAAGCGACAGATGGGTAGTAAAATACAAAGGAGAAAAATCTCAAAATTAAAATAAGATCAAGTATTAGCAGTTACATGGTTGATGGGTCTTCTTTACAGGAATCATTTCTTTTTCACTGTGGTGAAATATATGTAAGAAAATATTCCAACTAGTTCTCCATTTTACATTCAATCATTTTTACAATTCAGTGACACTAATTACATTCACCATGTTGTACAAAAACCCTACCAGTCAGCTTCCAAATTTTTCATAACCCTTAACAAAACCTCTGTACTCCCATTTCCTCCTTCCCACCACGTAGTAACCACTAACAAACTCTAATCTCTATCCATCTCCTATTCTGGATATTTTATGTAAGTAGTTTCATACAGTATTTGCTCTATTATATCTAACTTATTTCACTAATGCTTCATTATATATATGTACCACATTCCATTTATCCACTAATTAATGGGCACTTGGTTTATTTCCATCTTTTGGCTATTGTAAATAATGCTGCAACAAACACTACTGTACAATAACCTGTTTAAGTCCCCATTTTCAATTCTTTTGGGTATATACCTAGTAATGGAATTGCTGAGTCATAAAGTAGTTCTATATTTAACTTCTGAGAAACCATGAAAACTGTTTTCCACAGTTGCTGCACTATTTTACATTCATATCAGCAATGTATGAGTTCCAGTATCTCCGCATCTTTGCTAACACTACTATTTTGTTTTTCTGATAACAACCACCCTAAAAAAAACTAAAACTCACTGCCGTTGAGTCGATTCCGACTCACAGAGACCCCTCTTTGGGTTTCTAAGGCAGTATCTCTATGGAAATAGATTACCCAGTCTTCCCTCCAAGGAGTGGCTGGTGGGTTTGAACTGCCACCTGCTGGTTAGTAGTCAAATGCCTTAGGAACTACACCACCAGAGCTCCTACAGCCATCCTAGTGTAAGTGAAATGGTATCTCATCACACTTTTCATTTGCATTTCCCTAATGACTAATGACATTTGAACATCTTTTCATGTGCTTATTGACCACACTATCTTCTTTGGTGAAATGTCTATTCAATATCTTTGCCCATTTTTAAATTAGGTTGCTTTTTTGTTGCTGAGTTGGAACAATTTTTTAATAATTTTATTTTGCAGTTCAGAATACACACAGAAAAACATACACCAATTCAACAGTTTCTACATGTACAATTTAGTGACACTGATTACATTCCTCAAGTTATGTACCATTCTCACCTTTCTTTTCTGAGTTGTTCCTCAAATTTTAACATAAATTTGCTACCACCTAAAGGAGCTCTGGTAGCATAGTGGCTAAAGCACTTGACTGCTAACCAGAAGGCTGGCGGTTCAAACCCACCAGCCACTCCTCGGAAGGAAGGTTGGGCAATCCTACTTCCGTAGTGATACTGCCTCGGAAACCCAAGGAGGGGTCGCTATGAGTCGGGGCCGACTCGACGGCACATAACAACAACAACAACAAGGTTCTTATCTAACTTTCAAGCTGCTGTTGTCAATCTGATCCCACATGTTGTTGTTAGGTGCTGCTGAGTCAGTTCTGACTAACAGTGATCGTATGTATAACAGACTGCAACACTGCCTGATCCGGAGCCATCCTCACAATTGTTGTCACGCTTAAGCCTACTATTGCAGCCACTGTGACAATCCACCTTATTGAGGATTTTCCCCTTTCTCACTGACCCTTTACTTTACCAAGCATGATATTCTTCTCCAAGGACTGGTCCTATCTGACAAGAAGACCAAACTATGAGAGACAAAGTCTGGCCTTTCTCACTTCCAAGGAGCATTCCAGCTGTATTTCTTCCAAGACATATTTGTTTGTTTTGCTAGCAGTCCATAGTATATTCAATATTCTTTGCCCTTTGCCGATACCTCAATTCAAATGCATCACTTCTTTGGTCTTCCTTATTCACTGCCCAGCTCTCACACAATTGAGGCTAGAGAAAATACCATGGTTCGTTTCATACCTTAGTCTTTGAAGTAACATCTTTGCACTTTAACACTTTAAAGAGGTCTTTTGCAGCAGATTTACCTAATGCATCATTTGATTTCTTGACTACTCTCTCCACGGGCACTGATTGTAGATTCAAGTAAAATGAAATTCTTGACAACTTCAATTTTTTCTCCATTTATCATGATGTTGCTTATTGGTCCAGTGTGAGGATTTTTATTTTCTTTATGCTGACGTGTAATCCATAGGCTGTAGTCTTTGATTTTCACCAGTAAGTGCTTCAAGTCATCTTCCCTTTCAGCAAGCAAGGTTGTGTCATCTGCATACATATCTCAAGTTGTTAATGAGTGTTCCTCCAATTCTGATGCCATGTTCTCCTTCATAAAGTCTAGCTTCTTGCATTATTTGCCTAGCATACAGATTGAAGAAGTATGGTGAAAGGATATAATTCCTGATATACATCCTTTCTGATTTTAAAACATGCAGCATCCCCTTGTTCTGTTTGAACAACTGTCTCTTGGTCTATGTACAGGTTCTTCATGAGCACACTTACGTGTTCTGGAATTCCCATTCTTCACAATGTTATCCATAATTTGTTATGATCCAGAGTGTAATGCCTTTGCATAGTCAATTAAAATACTTGTAAACACCTTTCTGATATTCTTTACTTTCAGCTAAGATCCACCTGACATCAGCAGTGTTATTCCACATTCCATACTTTCTTTTGAATCTGGTTTGAATTTCTGGCACTTCCCTGTCAATATACTGCTGCAACTGTTTTTAAATTATCCTCAGCAAAATTTCACTTGCGTGTGATATTAACGATGTTGTTTGATAATTTCCAGATTCTGTTAGATCACCCTTCTTTGGAAGAGGCCCAAATATGAATGTCTTCCAGTTGGTTGGCCAAGTAGCTGTCTTCCAAATTTCTTAGCATACACAAATGACTGCTTCCAGTGCTATATCCATTTGGTGAAACACCTCAATGGGTATTCTGTCGATTCCTAGAGACTTGTTTCTCACCAATTCCTTCTGTGCAGCTTGGACTTCTTCCTTCAATATGATCGGTTCTTGATTATATGCTACCTCCTGAAATGATCCCATATAGGCAGTTCTTAAAAGAGCATTAACACTCAAGGCAGACCTTTTAAACTAGTTAAGCTAAACTATTACTTGGTTTTAAGAAAACTTCAGGGATTAGTTTTTATTTAATGTTTAAAGATTATCTCAAAGAAAAAGTTTCAGTGGTTCATCCAACTATCATGGCTGTAGGAAGTCTGGAATCCATGAGATTTGACATTCTATTCTGCATTTGCCCCTTTTGATCAGGATTCTTCTATGGAATCTTGGATCAAAATGTTCAGTAATGATAGGTGGGCACTATCCAGTTCTTCTGGTCTCAGGGCAAAGGAGGCAACTGTTCATAAGGCAATTAGCCACACATTCCATATCCTCCTCCTCATTCTGACTCTCCTTCTTCCTGTAGTTCCAGGTGAAGAGAGACTAATTAGTGAGCCTTGGATGGATGCTTGCAAGCTTTTAAGACTCCAGACACTGTGCATCAAACTAGAAGACAGAACAGAAGCACTAAATAAGGTTTTGTTGTTGTTAGGTGCCGTTGAGTCGTCTCTGACTCATAGTGACCCTAACCACAGCAGAACAAACACTGTCCAATCCTGGGCCAGCCTCACGATCCTGGTTATACCTGAGCCCATCATTGCAGCCACTGTGTCTATCCATCTCATTGAGGGCCTTCCCCTTCTTTGTTGACCCTCCACTTTACCAAGCATGATATCCTTCTCCAGGTAATGGTTCCTTCTGATCATATGCTAAATATAGTAATAGGCTCAATAACTGGGATATCCCACGAAATGATTACCTCCAAACCAAGAAACCAAATTGCATAAGTTGTATACAATCAGTCTCAGCAGCTATTTTTTCTTTTCCTTTTTTTTGTCATTGTTGTAACTTTAACACAACTTTTGTCAAATCAACTTTTTACAGGCATACAACTTACTGACAATTACAATAAATAATTCACTGTGCAATGCTACTGATAATCAACGCAGTATTTCTATCACCATTAACCCCTACTTTTCCCCTCCCTTCCACCTCTGGTAAGCACTAATAAACTTTGTTCTCTACACATTTGTCTTTTCTTATAAGTGAGGTGATATAGTATTTGTCTTTTTGTGACTGACTTATTTCACTCAGCATAATGTATTTCAGCTCCATCCATATGACTGCCTGTATGAAGACTTTACTACTGGCTGAGTAATATCCCCTTGTATGTATGTT